TTCCTATTCCAACGCCTATTAATCCTATCACTCGTACGACTCATTATATATTTGAATAAATTATATCAAGACTGCAATGCAGTCAACACTTACTATAGTGACCACGACTTCTACTTCTGTATAATAAGTGTTATTTCACTCATTTGTCCGCCAATTGTGTACGCGTTTTATTTGATCGGAGACAGTCTTGTCAAGGAAATACATATCAACCGCAAGGATGTCAGCACTAAGACTGTCAACGGATTACTGTTGATTCCCTGGCAGATCAAGAGGTGATAACAGAGATAAAGACACGAGAAAGAGAGAGAGAGAGAGAGAGAGAGAGAGAGAGAGAGAGAGATTAAAATTATTATATTTACGAATACAATGAAAACCGGATTTCATAATTGTTTTTATTTGCTCCGAAATAATTTGCTTATTATTTACGAATTATTTATGTTTTGCAGGCATTTAGATGTCCTCCACTTTGTGGCCCAAAGGATATGTATGTGTCGTTCCCCTCAGAGTGAGGAACAGGAGGACATCGTGTCGATGCAGAGGAACGCAGAAGTGTTGGAGTTTTTTGAGGACTTTTACGCCGGGTTTCTGCAGATTTTGCTCCAACTCTACATACTTTTGCTTCAATTGGCAAAAACAGATGGATTTCAGACACAAGTTTGTAAGTAACTCTCTCTCTCTCTCTCTCTCTCTCTCTCTCTCTCCTCATTAGTCAACAATTATACAAACAATTAACTTGTGATCCATTTCCTAATTGTGATGTCATTTCCATCTAATGTAGTGATAGGAGAGCTGATCGGCTCCGGACTATGCGTGCTATCAATGATGATAGCCGTCCGCCGTCGGGACGACGGTATCCTCACGAGTGTCCTGTCATTCGTCGGATGGCTATCGCTGTTCGTCTCGCGAGTTATCGTCTTCTCACTGATCGCCTCAATAATAGGCATTTATGTCGTAATCCTGGCGCTCATCCACGCCCTCTCCATCAGTATATGGGTCTACAACATAGCCATAGAGTCTCACACGACGGCCACCTCCGGCCCCACTGTCGACCAATGGACAACCCGTCGACGCGTATCGATGTCTATAATGGTGTTCCTATTCTTCGGGTTGCCATCACTGCTCATATGGCCGATCATGTTTCAGCTGAAGGAGAACCTCCGGCCCCTCAAGTTCTTACTGATCGTAGCCCTCGAGAACATCGGTCTCCTTAGCGTATGGTTTGCCGTTCAGTTCAGTAGAGGGACGACACTCTCGCAGTTGACGGACACTCACCACTGGATGGTCATCGGGGCGGTGGTCGGCACACTCGCCAGCGCTCTATTCCTCACCGGTTACGTGGTCTGTAAGCCTAAGCTCACGGATCAGGTGGTGTTGCATAAGATGCGGGCCATGGACTCCGAGAGTTATGGCATTTATTATGAATTCTGTGATATTGTCTTCAAACTACCCAACACTGAGTGGATTGAACACGACTTGGAGGCCGTCTCTAAGATGAACACATAGTTCGCAATACCTGTGCGTTTCGAGATTAGGTCAGACCTACGCTGTAATCAGTAATTCACTCATTCAAGGATTCATTTATTTACCATTCATTATAATGCTTATTATTATAATTTTATTTATAATACCTTTTTTGTCATTTATACCGAATTTCTATATTTTATTTAATTATTAATAGATTATAAGAAATATTATAATGTTTAGAAATTATAAGAATCTAAACTTTTGATTAGTTTAATAACTTTGATATTATTGACTGATATTATGACTGTAAAATGTAGACTGGTTAATTTAAATCCTAATATTCAATCTCTCAATTGTGAACATCATTATTATAATATCATTTTTTATATTTTATTAATATTATTATTTACTATTATATACGAGAGTCTAATTTTATACATTATTTACATTATAAGTGTATGAATTTTAATAAATTATTTCCATGTAAATTGCTCAAATATTTTATCACTCGCTCTTTGATTTCACAGCAAACTAACCGTACATTTAATTAATGATATAAGTTAGATAGTGTAAATTTTTAATATAATAATAGCAGCTTTGTGTTTCAATAATATAGCGATCACTAACATCGATAGAAAGTTTTAAAAAAAGTTTAAGATTACATAAAAACACAGGATAAATGTGATCAAATTACTCCCCTATTAGTAGTAATCATTACACACTCCTTATATAACATCAAATTCTCTACAATTGATTCAATTTGTTTTATAAAATGAGACTGCTAAAAGGTTTTATTAAATAATGAATAATTAGTATTAGAATTCTCACATAAATTCAAACAAGCAAATAATTCAATAGCAAATCAACTAAAAGGCTAAAAATAGTTTCATAAAACTTGTGAAATAGATTGATTGAGTGAGAGATGTGTTTATTTCAAATAAGTCTAATTCTCTCGTTATATCGTTTGGTGAACTATTTGATCAAATTGTTTCATGACTTCAATGATTGTCACAAATACATTGCTAACAATGAGTTCAATTTACTCATCATTACGATGTCGGCGCTCATATGTCCGACACTTTTTCACGGCTTCTACTCAATGGCCAAATGTCTCATCAAAGATGAAAGGCTTACCATTTGTAATCTCATGACACAGACAGTGAAAGGACTTCTGTTGATCCCGTGGCAGGTCAAGAGGTAAGTGAGGTTTAGGCGAAATGACACACATATTAATTGGTGTTTAAACACAATTCATAGTTATTTAGATGTGTTGAAGTATGCATCGGACAGACTGTGCGTTTGGCGCCCACCTAATGATAGGGAACGCAATGACATCGACTCTTACCACAAGAACTCAGAGATAATGGGCTTTTTCGAGGAGTTTTACGCCGGGTTTCTGACTATTATGTCCATAACTTATGAATATTTGAGTCAATTGGACAAAAACAATACCAAACCAAGTGATATTTGTAAGTATTTTCATAAAACCAAATTCTATATTTACTTTTATACCTTGCTAATTATAATATGTTTGCAGCTTATATCCAAATGGGTAGTTCCGTATCATTGGTACTCTCACTCTTAATTTCTATCCACCGGCGCGATGATGGCTGTGTCACTCGCGTACTGTCATTATTGGGTTGGATATCGCTGTTCACATCCAGAATAATATTGTTTTGTTTGGCACTACGTGTGCTAGGGCAATATTTTGTGATATTGCTCGCAATACATGTGTTGCTCATAAGTGTGTGGGTCTACATGATTTCAATGGACTCATACCGGAGCCATCGAATCTATGTGTCTAATTGGAAAAGAGTATCCCTTCTTCTATCGGTTGTCATATTTTTTGGCATCCCATCCCTACTAATATGGCCCATTATGTTTAATTTAAAAACAAACGGTCGACCCCTTAAGTTCCTATTCATAATAACCGTAGAAAACATAGCACTACTTGTGCTATGGTTTGTCTACAATATTGGCCATGGTCATAGTCCCACCGATAGCCATTATAGCCAGTGTATAATACCAGTGATGGTGGCATTGGGTGCCACTTTAGGGGCAGTTGCCTTTTTATTTCTGTACATTAAAATCAAGCCCAACGACACGGATAAAGTGGCCCTGTACAATATGAGACAGTCAGGAGCTGAGAGCTATGGTGTTCAATACGATTTGTGTGATCTTGTCTTTCATATCCCCGATGATCACCAATTCAATGAAGAGCTCGAAAATGTCAGAAATCTTTATGCCAGACATTAATACATTTAATCTCATCCAGCACTTATTTTCTATGATACAAGTACTGTACAGAAGTACTGTTTAAACATTAATTTTATTTTATCAAAGTTTTATATATTTTATTTTATTTTATTAGATTCCGAACAAAATTTTATTATATAATATTTTTTATAATAGCTCTTAAAATTAAGTCAGCCATATAAATGTTTTAAATTGGATTAAAAACTGAAAAACATTTTACTGCAATTTTATGTTTTAGATATTAAACTAATAATTTGGTGCACTTATGTAAGATAATTGAGTTTTTAGTTTAGGCTT